ATAGACCAAGCTCGGTCCTGGCGCTTAAGGCAATACCAATGCGTACTTGACCAGACGTTGATGCGATAGGGTCCCCGGAAACGCGCCGTTGAAGCGCTTCTTTTGGAGCGGAAAGAGACGTTAATCGGACCACCGCGCTCGGATCCTGAATGCCTTTTTCCGAGAGGCAACACATCAATCTCTAGACTTTCGAGCTTACAAGCCAAACCTGCTTGTCTCCCTATACTCATTAGGGTTCTAACGTTAAACGAAGCCAGTTTGGACGCAGAGTGAGGTCGGAGGAATGAAACGACTCCGAATGACAAGGCATTGCTGAAACAGATGCCAAGGAGGATAGCGACGAGTTACAACATGAACCTACGTCAGTGGAACCGTTCGATATAGGATATACAACCAATGCGTACTTGACCAGACGTTGATGCGATAGGGTCCCCGGAAACGCGCCGTTGAAGCGCTTCTTTTGGAGCGGAAAGAGACGTTAATCGGACCACCGCGCTCGGATCCTGAATGCCTTTTTCCGAGAGGCAACACATCAATCTCTAGACTTTCGAGCTTACAAGCCAAACCTGCTTGTCTCCCTATACTCATTAGGGTTCTAACGTTAAACGAAGCCAGTTTGGACGCAGAGTGAGGTCGGAGGAATGAAACGACTCCGAATGACAAGGCATTGCTGAAACAGATGCCAAGGAGGATAGCGACGAGTTACAACATGAACCTACGTCAGTGGAACCGTTCGATATAGGATATACAGTGGAAAAAATGGGGATGTTGTGTGGGAGGCGGGTGAAAGTGTTGCCGGCAGATTTTGAGAAACGAGAGCTTTGCATGAGTGTAAGAGTCTGAGGCATGTTTGAGCTTAAAAGAGGCTTCGAAAGAGGTATGGGAGCAGTGACACAACACTACATTCAAAAATTCATCATATGCATGTGTACGGTTATTAACTGCAAATATACGAACAATGCGAAGTTTCGAGGGTTACAGCTTAGTACAAAATTCCAATGATTTTATACCTTCGAGTTGTGAAAATGTTTTGTCCGCCTGTGTATTAAACACGTCAAAGGAACGTAAATAGTCATAATGAATAAATCTGACTGCATCAGTATACCTGGTGTTCAATTATTTGCACCTTGTCTCCTTAAAAGTTACTACCTTCTTGTTAACCCTTTAGCATAAAATTTGCCTTCAAAAACTACAACTCAACTTATTTATCATTAAACGGCCAGATTGATGTCGGACATTCCAGTGGATGCGCCGGGACACTGTCCAGGTCCACAAAGTGACTCCGCGGGCAAGGCTAGTGCGTGCGCTGGCTGTCCTAATCAGTCTGCCTGCGCAAGCGGACAAGCCAAATTGCCATTGGCTTTACGTGAGCCCGAGGTAATTGCTGCAATTCGCAGGCGACTGGGACGGGTACAGCATCGATTGCTTATCCTTTCTGGTAAGGGAGGTGTGGGAAAAAGCAGTGTATCCGTTTGTTTGGCACGTGGACTTTGTCGCCGCACGCACACCTCGTCGGGCACCCCTGAGGATTGCTTTCGCGTCGGTCTACTAGATTTGGATTTGTGTGGACCCTCAACACCATGCATGTTGGGCTGCATGGAGGCTCAGGTTAGTGTTTTGCTTCCTCGTCTGTTTACATCTATTTACGGGTTTCTCTTTTCAACACGATGTTAGTCAACTATTTTATTCAAATGTTTGANTGACTTAACCCACAAAACAGTTCATTTTGTGCTATTCATAGCTTACCGTGTGCTGTGTCTTCAACATTTCGATCCCACCTATCGATCTGTATCGGTTATATCGGTCGAAAAATGGTAATATAAAATTATTGGCACTTGATTGCCGTGAAATCAAAGCGCTGTGAAACCTTATGGACAGAAAATATAAATACATTTCCCACAGCAATACTGGACTAATATGTGTCAGATAGAGTGAATGGCATTATGTTCAGCCGGGGTGACTGGTCGAGTGTACTGTATCGTAGATTTATTACCAGTTATCATGCAAACGTTAGTGCATTGTAGAATAATAGTGCCAGTTGACCATGGAAATACGGGGTACCATCTAAACACTGAATGTTCTCACGAATCTGTTTTTTGTCACACGCACTCTTCTGTACTGAACAGCAAACGGGATACATCCCATAGTCACCACGACCTTTCGTTCACTTGTGGAAATCGGTGACCTAACCCTTGGGACGTACAGTAGAGAACCACGTTAAATCCCGTTCAGTTCAGTTCAGTTTGCACAACCATTAGCCATGCGCCGGTTTTGGTTGCTATCTTTCGGCTACCCAT